GCAAGCTGCTTTTGTCCCGGGGCGGTCAATTTCCGACCATTGCTTGCTCGGGCAGGAGGTGCTGAACAAATTCAAGATCTCCAAATCTAACCCTGGGTGGATGGCTGTCAAGGTCGATATGGAACAAGCTTATGACAAGATGAGCTGGAGAACTCTTGAGTGTGTGCTGTCTCGTATGGGATTCCCTCTTAAATTTCGCTCTTGGATTATGAGTTGCATTTTCTCCCCCCGTTTTTCTATTATGGTTAATGGGCAGCTCACGGAGGCTGTTACGGCGGAGTGTGGGTTTCGCCAGGGATGTCCACTCTCCCCCTATCTGTTTATTCTTTGCTCGGAGCTCCTGTCACTTCAATTCCACCAACGGTGCCCGGAGATGGGCATTCAACTCAAGGCGGGTGGACCTATGGTCTCCCACCTCCTTTATGCTGACGATGTTTTATGTTTTGCAGGTGCTTCCATATCTAACGTGAAGAAAATCATTTCGATTATGGAGAACTATTGTGCATGGACTGGGCAGCGGGTCAATCGAAGCAAATCGGCAATTATGTTCAGCAAGGTCACCTCGTCGTCGACCAAACACCGGCTGGCTAGGCTTGCTGGCTGCCGTAAGGTTGAGGAGATGGACTATCTGGGAATTAAGCTCACACTTTGAGGATTGAAAAAAGCTGATTTCAGCCCGCTACTGCAGAAATCCAGTGCTCTGACTCTTGCCTGGGGAGTGAGACATCTTTCATTAGCCGGTAGAGTTACTATGGTTAACTCTGTCCTAATTCCTCTCTCGGTTTATGCGGTCTCGCATATGATGGTTCCGAGAGGGGTTCTCGACGAGATGGAGAAGATATGCCACGGCTTTCTGTGGAATAAGGATCATAACCATAAGAGCTTACACTATGCCAGCTGGGCGACGCTAACCAAGCCGTGGCGATTTGGGGGGTTTGGGTTCCATGCCAGTGGACAATGGACTGACCCCTTACGTGCTCGAATTGCATGGAACTTTTTTAGTAAGCCGCATAGCTTACTTAATCGGTGCTTGCGACACAAGTATGGTGATTGGCCTTGGTCCCGGGGCCAGCGTCGTGACGACTCTGCTGCTTGGAGGTTGATCTGCTGCGGGGCGAATAGTTTAGCCAATTGTATCCGGTGGCGGGTTGGTAATGGTGCTGATATTGATGTGCTCAATCATGTTTGGATTTACGACTTGGCCATTGCTCATTGGCCTACTTTCTGTAATGTGGAGCTTGCGGAAGACCTGGTGGTGGGGGAGCTACTCACAGCCGACGGTAGATGGGATAGAACCAATCTGATGCAAGTTTTCGGGGCCTTCTTGGTGGATGTCATCTGTGACATTACAATTCGGCCGGGTTTCCCCTGATGATTCACTGGAATTGATCAAATGCCCTCTTGGGACCTCAATCTCTGCTATCTGTTACACGTCTCTATTCCAAGAGGAGGAGGACCCGGTGTATCCGATCCTTAAAATTGGCCTCCGGCCCCGCGAACGAATTTTTTGGTGGAGGGCTTATAAGGATCTGCTACCTACCTGCTCCTGGCTGAACCGAAGAGGACTGGGGACGGATCTGCTCTGCCCGATCGGTTGTGGTCTTCGTGAGGATCTGGACCATATCTCTGCGCACTGCCGTCAACTTGGGGATGTTCGACGGTGCCTGGACGGTTGGGGATTTCCTACTCCCCATTTTTCTTCCTTCGGTGGCCTCCAGGAAGCATTGAAGAGCCATTCTGCCACTACGGTTTTCTGGGGCCGTCTCTACTGCGGCGCGGTTTTTTGGTGCTGGAATAATCAAAATGCTATTCGATCTGGTAAAGTTAGGAGCACCCCCACGGCCATGGCTGCTAATATTCTCGAAGCTCTATCCCGCGTTTACTTTTCTACATGCCTGGAGCAACGGTTCACCTTTCAATCCTCCGAATTGGTTTCTTCGTCATCATGGTGTGCCTCCCCTTCTGGCTGGCTGAAAATCAACGTATATGGGGCCTTGCGCCGTTCCAATAGGGGCGGAATCGGTATAGTCATTCGGGACGATCGGGGCCAACTTGTGGTGGCTGCGGGCTGGTGCATCACACATTGGGATAGCACCCAGGTGGAGTTATTGGCCATTCATTATATCGAAAAGCTGCTTGTTGGATGGATGCTTGAGGCGAGTGGTCTGATCATCGAAGGGGATAACGCCAGTGTTATCCAACACATGGAAAAGTTCAAGGTGCGGGAACTTTGGAAGCTCCGGCCCGACGTCGGCGGGGGGCTAGATTGGCTGGGGTCCCCACGGAAGGTTATTTTTGTTCATGTGCGGAGGAAGGTTAATTCGGCGGCTCATTTTTGTGCTCAAAGAGCAATTGAGGATAGTTTTCTTTGGAATTTAGATGGCAATGTTAGTACATGTATTCCTCAGGATTTTTTGTCCATCCTTGAGGATGATAGTGGTGTTTCCACCCCCTGTTAGGGGTCTTTCTTTCTTTTTGGGTCCCTTTGTGGCCATTGTAACTCTTTTTAGTTTTTAATTGAATGCAAAGGCAAAGTTCAGCTCTCTCTCTCTCTCTCATTCTCTTGATCTCTCCCTTGCTCCTTTTTGCTCTCTCTCTCTCTCTGGCTCTCTATCTCTTGCTCTCTACAATGCTCTCTCTCTCTCTCTCCCTCTATCTATCTTTCTCACACTCTCTCTCTCTCCCTCTTTCTCTCTCTCTCTCTCTCTCTCTCTCTTGCACTATCTTGCTCTCCCTTGCCCATTCTTGCACTCTCTTGCTCTCTCCCTTGCTCCATCTCTCTCTCCTGCTCTCCTGCTCTCTCTCTCTCTCTCTCTCTCTCTCTCTCTCTCTCTCTCTCTCTATCTCTCTCTCGCATTCTCTTGCTCTCTCCCTTGCTCCTTCTTGCTCTCTCTTTCTCTCACTCTTGCTCTCTCGCTATTTCTCTCTTCTCACTCTCTCTCTCTCTCACACACACACACACACACACACTCTCTCTCTCTCTTTCTCTCTCTTGCATTCTCTTGATCGCTCCCTTGCTCGTTCCTCCTCTCTCTATCTCTTTCTCTCTTGCTCTCTCTCTCCCTCTCTCTCTTTCTCACAGTCTCTTTCTCTCTCTATATCTCTCTCTCTGTTTCTCTTTCTCTCT